CACACGGTATGCCCCCCTGCACACGGTATGGCCCCCTGCACACGGTATGGCCCCTTGCAAACGGTATGGCCCACCGTTTTCCCCGTGGCATATCGGTATGCCCCACTGCAATCTCCTCCGCACCTTTCACTCAAGCATCTGTGCGTCTTTCACTCTTGCCGTTTTTTTCTGCATATCGCTACGCCCCAGCTCCCCTGTCAATCAACCCTGTCTGTGGAACCCCATGTCTCCCTCCCATGTGTCTGTGTGCTCCCCCCACCATTCTGCCACGTCCCTGACTGTCAGCGTGCTGGATTACAACAAGCTCACAGGGCAGATACCCGACTCTTTCAGCGATCTCACCAACCTAGAGGCGCTGTGAGTTGAACCTCAAGGTGGGCAAGGCCATATGGTACGGAAGCGGGGCGGGGGAGTAGTGAGAGCAAAGGGGCGGGGGGGGGGGGGTGGGAGGGGGGAGGGGGAGGGGGGGGGGGGGGGGAGGGAGGGGGAGGGGGGATGGAACAATATTTATGGGTAATGGGAGGAGAAAGTAGACGAAGGCGAGGGGCGGCATATTGACTAGACTTGCCACGCTCCATGCTTCGCCACTCGCCAATCCCAATTCGCCATTCACCCCGTATGCGACTGCGCCCTCCACCATGCTCCTCTTGTAGTCATGCTTTCCTTCGCCCACTTCCACCTCTTGCAGTGTGCTCCCTCCCCCTACATCATCCTTCGCCTCCCTGACCTCCTCCCTCCCATCTCCCCTTTTTCAACCACTCTCCCATCCTCCCACTCACCATTCTTTGACCCTCCCACGACTGCGCATCCGACTGTATCAGGTCTGTGAGGGGCAACGAGTTGACTGGAAATATCCCATCATCGCTGGGCGACTGTGCTCGTCTCCTTGAGCTGTATGCAGCATGGATGCATGCATGAACGCATTGGTTGTCTCCTTTCTTGGGTTCTTCCATGCCTTCATCCACCCTGTAAACTTTCACGAGCCCTTTCCTCAGTTCTTCCATGCCCTTTCACGTGAACCGAGGAATAGTTTTGCTCAGTATTAATGTGGTCCTCTCCTCTCCTCTCTGCCCCTCTCCACTCGTCTCTCCACACCAAATCCCTTCGGCTTGGTGATTTGCGTATGGATGGCCCTACTCACTCACACAATCCGTTTCTCTCTTGGTCCTCTACCTCGCAGCACTTCGCCTAACTTCTGTTCGCAACTTCTCCGTCCCCCACACCTGTAACGGTTGTAACCCCCGCACAGTGACATAGCTCGGAACAACCTCACAGGAAACATCCCTGAAACCCTTGGCAACCTGCGGGACTTGCGCTATCTGTGAGCACCAATGCTCTCCTGGGAAGGGGAGTGAAGAGGGGTTGGGCGTGATGGTGAGCCGGGCGTGTGACAGAAGCGATGGGAGGGCAGGCGCAGGGGAATGGGTGATTGTTGAAGATGTTGGCTTTGGGGGATGCTTTGTGCCAGGTGGTGAGGCCAACCAGTGTGGCTGATGAAGAGGTCAAAACCAGTGTGGCTGATGGAGAGTGCCCTCCAGATGGACTTCATGACTTACTTGTCACCTCGGGTGCAAAGACCTGACTCCCCCTCATCGCTCAATCGCTTTTGCACCTAGTCTACTCTACTGTTCCCGTCTCAGGAGTTCCCTGTGTTTTGCTGTGCTTTGCTTACACTCGACTCGTGTTATCACCCGTCCATGCAGGAACTTGCTTCAGAACATGTTGAGTGGTCCGCTGCCCTCAGAGCTGTCTTCACTGCAGCACCTGGAGTACTGGTGAGGGTCGTGTCGTGTGAAGGTTTGGTGAGGTGACTTTTAAGTTTCCGCGAGTGCATGGTGGGTAGCCTAGCCATTGTGAGATCATGTTGACAGCATTGTATGCCAATATTGACACGAGTAGACCTGAACCGGGTATTTTTCATGCCTATCCATGGCAACCGTTCGATCTCAGTGCTGAGCAGTCTGCACACACCTGTGTTGATCGCACCTACCTGCTGCTGCTAACCTGCTGCTCACATGGTTTGAAATTTTGATTCGGGGATCAACATGAGGCGCTCCTGAAAAAGGAGCTGATATGATATGAGTGACATAAGCCACCAGTGATGGTGCCACTGATGATAGTGTGCCCTCCTTTCTTTGTTCGAATTTCAAATGTCAGGGACATGATTCAAAACCAGCTGGGAATGGAGGTGCCTGCTTGGATTGGCAGCATGACGACCCTGAACCACCTGTGCGTGCCGCCATGCACCACATCGCACCGCTTTCTGTTTTGTTCTGCACCAATCATCTTCTCTACTCGTTTTCTTTTGTTTTTTGATGTTGTTATTTTTTTACCTTGCCATATACTTACATGATGAGTCTTTGCCTAAAAACGCTCCCATCTTTCACTTCTACTGCCTCTTTCTTCCTACCTCCTTTCGATGTTCATTTGTTACCCTTACTAATCGTCTATCATGCTCGTCTCTCATATTCCACACTATACCCTACCTCAGTGGCCTCGATTACAACACCTTCAATGACTCCATCCCAGACTCGTTGGGCAATCTACACAACTTGACACACCTGTGCGTGAACGGGGAACAGGGACCCTCTGTGTGTTGGAGTGAAGTGCAAAGTGGAGGGGTCACAATGACTGCTGCTTCGTTCCGTGTGCAGGGGAGAGTGAGAGCATATAGGAGGAATGCATCTCTATTGACTTAAAATTGAGAGGCTGGCCTAGTGGTGGTGGGGCTTAATTTCGATATGTTGCGGCCTCAGCTCTTCCAATCCAACATCTCTACCCTCTCATTCTTCTCCCCGTTTTTGTCTTTTCCGACACCTGCTTCCATACTTCCCTCTACCGCATCACATTCCATTCCCTGCTCCTATTCTCTCATCCAGTTGCGTCCTACTTGCTTCACTCCACCTCACTCTGTCGCTTTCTTTCCTTACCCTGCCCCATACCCATCATCTCTCAGCGCTCTCGATTACAACTTGCTCTCAGGACCTATCCCCGAATCACTCAGAGATCTGACTGGCCTCGTATCATTGTAAGAAGGCAGGCTACGCTGGGCTGCTGCGAAGGCAGGCTAGTCATTGCAGCATTTTAGAGTCTCAGCATGGTTGGTATGGCTCTGCGGCTCTGCCTCACCAAGTATCACGTGTCAGCCGCAGAGAAGTGAGAGGAGCACCTGTGAGCAGCCATGGCCAGCCTGAACTGGCCTGTCAGTTGGAAGGACACTTGTGATCGTTGGAAAGGAAAGCACCATGGCAGCAAGGGCACTGGAGACGCTTCTCAGAACATGCTTATGTCGCATTCCATGCGAATGCGTCCCATCTTGTGTTACCACATGGCAGGTATCTGGGATCGAACTGGCTTTATGGCACCATTCCTGCCCCCCTGGTCAACCTCAACAAACTCACTACCCTGTGCGCCCAAGCTTTTGCTTGTTTGCTCACCAATGCTGTGTGTGCTTTTTATTACGCATAAACAGAGAATGAGTAACCGAAGTTTTGGGACTTGGGCAGCCGAAGGAACTTATGATTCTGTCAGTGTGGTCAAGCCTTCCAAGCAAGCACCCGAGAGGAGGAACAGTCCCATAACTACCCACTCCACTCCCATGATTTTCCCTGTTCTGGCAAACCATTCAGAACCTTGTCTAATAACTTCCTTGCGGGAACGATCCCTGCCGCGTTCAGCACACTCACTCGCCTTGTGTACCTGTAAGCACGCACCCACTATCCATGCAGCTCGTCTCACACGAAACCTTCCCGTGGAATTGGCTGACTTACTGGTAAGAGGGCACGCTATATTCCGGCTTGCATGTCCGCCTGTCATACGCAATCCTCTCCTCTCCACACAACCCCCTCTGTCTGTACCCCGCCCTCATGGAGTGCTAGGGGGACTCCAATACTCCTCTTCCCTCTACTCCCGTGCATCAATCCCGTCCCACATACCCCTAAAGGAATACCTTCAACACGCAGCACCGCACTCTCCCTCTTCCCCAGTCAACCTCACCCTCCACTCCACCACGCATTTCCCTTCGTGCTGCTCTGATGCTCCTCTCCTCCCATGCCTTTTGTGCTGGTTAACGCAGCATTATGGACAGGAACGAGCTGGTGGGGCAGCTCCCCTCTCTGAAGCGCATGCCAGCGCTCAGGGCTGTAGCTGCACGAGGCAACTTCATCACATCTGTAGCAGAGGCACCTCCCGCATGCCCCACATACGAGCTGCTGCTGGAAATGAACTGCTTTGCGCGAAACCTCACCATCTGTGGCACCGAGCAAGTCCAGAGGGAAGCTGGTTGGTGCAAGTGGTGGTGTGGGAACGAGCCCTTGAGCCCACCTTGTAGCGGCCATGGAGTCTGCTTCTACCTGCCTGGGGTTTCATCTTCTCCTTCCTGCGCTTGCGATTACGGTTACACTGGAGCAAGTCCCAACACCTCCACCCCGCAAGGTAAGGAAAACATGCTACCCTGCTTGCTAATAAGAGGTGCTTCAAATTTTATCTTTGAGTAGCGATTCAGTATTGAAAGCCTAGCATAATCACTGTTGACACTCCAACCATGTAAGCGGTAAGTGTACGATGTAACTGAGCACTAAGTTCAGAGTCCATGCGTACATTCTCACGATATCTATTCTCATGCACTATGCCACACTAATCACAGTCTTATTCCTACTCATCCTTTCCAACCGTCCTCTACGCCCCCTTCTCAACCCATGCAGACATTCATTCCCACACAAAATTTCTTACCCACAATTGTTCCTACCATTTCAACCCGAACATCCCCCTTACTTCCAGGACCATATATCCCTTCCCGACTCACCTCTTATGAAGACCCAATGACTCTCTTCCATCTGGCCTCCTCTACTCCCAACGGCTCCATCTTCCTGACCTCAACGCCATCCACTGCACCATAGGGAGCGGCCTTCACACCGCAACCCATCACCCTCTTCCTCTCCACCAACAAAAAGCAGCCATGCGACCAGCCCATTGCCTTCTCCGTCTCGTTCACGTTTCGCATGACCCCTGCTGCCGCTACCTCTGGCATTGCAGGCGAGGGCCTGGCGTTTGTAGTCACTGCAGCAGCACCCCAGGGGGCTGCAGCAGGGGTGGGGCTGGGAGGGGTGGGGAAGCGGAGTGTGGCGGTGGAGTTTGACTCGGTGCTGAGTGTGAAGCACAGCGACCCCAACGACAACCACGTGGGCGTCAATGTGGGCGGCTCACCTGTGTCCCTCGCCTCTGCCACGGCCCCTCTCATCCTCAACGACGCCCACACCAAGCACGCCTGGATCCACTACGACCCCACCAGCGGCGGCACCCTCCGAGTCTTCCTCTCAGCCTCCAGGCAGCAGCAGTCCAAGGCTGTGGTGACGGCGAGAGTGTCTCTGTGCAGCGCACTCAAGCCCACTGTAGGGGATTCCTCCTTCCTGTTTGGATTTGTGGGTTCCTCTTTGAACAACACGCAGAGGCATGACATCCGCTCATGGAGCATTGTCACTGGTGAGTGCATCATGTGCATCATCACAGCTATGAGCGACAACGCACTTGGTGCTGCATGGTCGTTGCTTGATCGAGAAGGATGCACATTCTGTCTAAATGTGTGTTGCGCATGTGCCTATGTGTGTGTGTGTGTGTGTGTGTATGAGCATGCATGCATAGTTTTGTGTGTGTGTGTCAGTGTGTATGTGTGTGTGTGTCAGTGTGTATATGTGTGTGTGTGTGTGCGTGTGTGTGTGTGTGTGTGCGCATCTTCATGTGTGTATGCATATGTGCAGGCATACTTCCTGCTGTGGACTGGAAGAATGAAGCCCCTGGTAAGCATATCTTTCCCAACGCTTTTCCTCTCGCCTGGTAATTCACAATGTTTATTTCATTCCAGGAGTTACACTCGCCTTGGGCATTGCACTTGCCTTTCACCAGGGTTGATTACCCCTTGAAAACCCGCTCCTTTCTTAATTGCAATCTCCCATGATCCGCCAGGCAAAACATTTGGGCAGGTAGCATCAGCAGAGGAGGTGGCAGCAGGCAGTGAAAGCGGGAGTGTGCCTTCCTCCTTCCATTATGCCAGCCTCGCCTTTCACGCGGACAGCCCAGCCATGGAGCCTTCTTGGGAACTCCCACCTTTTGTTTCTTGGATGCTAAATGAGGCTTCGTGGCCCATGAAAAACTAGCATGGATGCGGTATGGCATGGATGCGGTATGGCATGGATGCAGCACGGCATGGCATGGATGCGGTATGACGGTATGGCACAGATAAGGTATGGCATGGATAGGTGTCGATTGGCCGGTTATGGCATCGGGACAAAGGTGGAATAGAGACCTCATGGTGGGCCACCATAAGAATAAACAACCGCAGGAACCAACCTCATGGTGCATATTCTCTTATGATGAATAAACGGGCTTGAGACAACCATTCAACAACCGCATCAGCCCCCCTTGACCCTTCCCGTGTCCCTTCCTCCACGCCCCTCCCTGCCTGCCCATACCCGGCCTGCAGCCGACTCCTCGGCATACGCAGTGGTGGCGGCGGTGGAGGCAGCCTACAGCATCACCAGCAACGGGTCGCAGCCCCCCAGGCTGTCGGTGGAGCAGTTTCGCCTCGCCCTCTCCGCCAAGTGCGACGACATGCCTCCGCGCGATGTGCTGGCCTTCCTGGTGGCTGCCACGCGCAAGGGAGGGGGGCTCATGGATGACGCAGCAGCAGCGCCCGCCAGTCCCCACAGCATGGCGTCCACCGGCCGGCGGGAGAGACTGGCCACGGTGAGTCGCAGCCAGTGATGGATACTCATTCTCTCTCATGCGTTTGGGAAGGCCGCAAGCTAAAAGAAACGAATGTCATGAGGGTGGAGCATTGGAGGTTGCCTTCATAACCTGTGGCTACATGCGCATGGGGACAACCCCCCAACACATTCTCAAACTCCATTCGTCCAGCTTTATATTTGAACTTTCCTGCACTCTCACTTTCTTCTGGAATCCCCTACCTCACTACCCGTGCTGCCTGTCCTGCAGAAGGTCAAGTACTACGGGATTCAGGGCTATGAGGAGACCTCGTTTGATGGATGGCTGGGTCTGCTGCTGGCAGTGCAGCGCCAGCCAGTGGTTGTGCGAATAGAGGCTTCCGCACAATCGTTCTTTGAGTATGACGGGGTGAGTACAACTGTTCTGTCAAGCTGGGGGCATTACAGTTTGGAATGCCGACGTAGAATGGGTGCAATGCATAAAATTGCTTTTGCATGTTTGTCAACGCACATGTGTGGCTTTTGAAAAGGACTTGAAACGCATCTCCTCGTCCCCTTGTGCACTCCCTTCCATCCTACCCGGCACCCCCCAGACATACAAGTATGCAGACGCTGGCTGTTTTCAGGAGGGGGTGAACCATGCAGTCCTGCTGGTGGGCCATGCCTTGCAAGGCAGCACAGACAGCCCTTTCAGCCTGGATGGGCCCCTCTGGGTGATCCGCAATTCATGGGGCACGGGATGGGGGGACGTAGGGCACATGTACATGGACATGCAGAGCGGGCCGGGCGTGTGTGGTATCAACACACTGCCAGGCATCTTCCCCATCCTCCGATGTACGCTCAGGTGTATTGGGTTCATGGAGTTTCTCGTGTGCTCTTGTTTCTGGCATATGTGTTCCTACAAGAACCATGAGTGCCTCTTGTGCAAATCCTGTTGGTGTTGGTGTCATGGGTTCTGCTATCTTTGCCACTGGTGTCACGTGTCTAGCTGTAATGCATCACAAGCTCTAGCTAAGCAGTGTCTCTCATATGGTGTGTGGTGCATGCGTGGTGTGTGCATGGCAGCGACTTCTGACCCGTGTGGCAGCATGTCAGTGATGCTGGCGGGCTTACCGGGAGTGGCAGTGACCAACGCGTTCAACCCGTGTGGGCAGTTCAAGTGCTTCAAGGTCGGAGCATCCAACCGCTGTGCCTGTGCTGCTCCCCACTTCGTCCAGACCTCCCACCCCGACGGCTCCAATACCTGCGCTTATGGTGAGTTTGCTTTTGTGTTGACTCAAAAACACCTGCGCCTACAGTGAGCACTATACTGACCACTCTTTCCTGCGAATCGTTCGCTTCACCTCCACCCCTCTGCCCCGCCGGCCTGTGGTGAGCCCATCCCACTCTCGTGAGCCCTCGCACTCTTTTTTCTGCTCTTTCCCACTTATTGCGCACCTTAACACGTCCTTCCCCCCTTCGCCCTGCGTGCCACTGCCAGTGGACGCCTGTGGGCTGGCAGGCAGCAACCCGTGTGTGGTGGGCACGTGTGTGAACGATGGCAAGGGCAGCTACTCCTGTGTGTGTCCCCCAGGGTTCGTTCAAGGCACCACCGCCAAGGGAACCCTCTCCTGTGCTCCGGGTACGCTCCTCCCCGCTCGTGTTCTCATCCCTGGCTGATATCTCCTTGCTCTTGTGTCGCTTCATGCCCTTCCTTTCTTCTTAGCTATTCTGCTCTACTCGCGGATATTGTTTCTAGGCAGAACAGGACTGCATTGTTTCTGTGTTGGTGATAATCAAGTAAATCTTCCAGGGTTGCAAAATTATCGTAACACTTGTTACTTAAAAATATTTAATTGCTCATGTTCATGCTTTTTGCTGTATGCAGGCGACAGCAAGGGCAGCTACACGGTGCTTGGCAGCAACGTATGGTGCGCTCAAGTGCTGCTTGTGTTCGGGCTCACTTTGGACCAACTCAAGCAGCAGAACAAGGTGCGAACGCATCCCCTCATTCTGGCAACACGTTATCACCATCCACAGTTTCTCATATGAAGCCGTCAACCACCTTACCTCCCTGATGCGTGCAGAAGCTCTCCTGCACCAAGCCCATCCCAGTGGGATCTAAGCTGGTTGTCAAGACGACCCAATCTCTTCCGAACTGCTCCCTCTTCTACACCGTCCAGCTTGTGAGTACTCGCGTACCACCGTCTAGCTTGTGAGTACTCGCGTACCACCGTCCAGCTTGTGAGTACTCGCGTACCACCGTCCAGCTTGTGAGTACTCGCGTACCACCGTGCAGCTTGTGAGTACTCGCGTACCACAGGCCACATTTTCTGTTGTATTACGATTTGCGTAAAGAAGAGCAATATGTAATTTCTTCACAGCTAGAGAAAAATTGGCAAACATGTATAATGCCCTCGATTGATTTGCTTGTCACGTGCGCAGGGGGAAAGCTGTGTGGCAGTCGCTCAGAAGTTCAATCTGAGTGACAGGTGTCTCGGGGATGGCGATCAGGCATGTGTGGATGCGGAGGTGGGGCTCAACCCTGGGCTCAACTGTTCAGAGCTCATGCGCGGCCAGGCCGTGTGTGTAGAGCGCGACGAGAGCAGGGTGGGGGAGGTGGCAGTGTGTGATAAGGAGTACCTTGTCCAGGTGTGTGGCGGCTGTGATGCTGTGATGGCGGCTGTGGATCCACCTTTGAGCCCACTGGAGTTCTACCGCCTCAACCCAGGCGTCAACTGCAAGTGCTTGACCACCAATTTGGAGGAACGCTACTCGCAACGCAAGGTGAGGACTTTTTTTTTGGGGAGGGGGGGGATAGTGCCATCAAATCCAAAGTCTCACTTGCTCACCTACACCATGCGTGTCCTGATGCAGGTTTGCCTTGGCAGCAGCACACGGTACAAGACTGGCACATGTCCAGGAGGCACCTACAGCGTTGCAGAGGGGGACAGTTGCGCCATGATTGGCGTGAAAGGCTTTGCCAGCATCAAGGGGTGCTACAAAAGGATGAATGGCTTTGAGTGCGTGGAGAAAATGCCGCCCGGGACAACTGTTTGCACCCCTGAAGCTTCGGCTGCTCGAGTTGGAACATGCGCCATGGGATAATATTTTTATGCATAATATGGTAAAATGTTCCATATTATAGTTTGAAGTTCAAATTGGAGGCCCAGTATGTATGTAGCCGTGTATATATATTCACCGTATACCTATGTAATCCTCTATATATGCACGTAATCTCCTGAGTATGTGGCTTTTCGGAACAAAATATCCTTTCTGGAATTTTTTTGAGAAACTTCGTATCGCATTCAGGGACTACAGAAACAATACTGTGTAGTAACATGCTCCGCAAAACTAGACTCTGATGTACATTACATGAAAGCAGGGCCCCTAAAACAATAACTACGAACAGGGCCCGTGCTAGGAATTGGGGCATCCTGAGGCATCAGGGCACTTTTCTAAAATCTTTAAAAATGCCCTGATTTGTCAGTGCAAATTTTCGGGGCCTTCCTGTACGTTCAGGGCTTCTACAGACATTAATCCTGACCTGTCAGGGCAAAAAAACCTCTGTTCAGGGTTCAGATTTCACAACAGACCAGACCAGACTCTGCTGAGCAGAGCCGAGCAGAGCATAGCAGCATGGCACACGACGAGCTGGGAGTGTTCACTGTTTCCCCCATCTGATGCGTTTGGTTGGTGCGTTGCAGTGCAAAGGGGTCGCGAAAGCGGGAAAATGCACGGGGAAAGCAATCCGCGGGGGAAATTTTTCCAGGGAACAATTTCCCGGGAAACGGTACCCACTCCCCGCCGCCCACCCTCCCCCCCTTCCGCCCCCCCCCCTCCCTCCGGCGGAAAAAAAAAACGCGTCAGGGCGAACCTCGACATTCATCCTGACGCTGCAGGGAAGAACACCACAGCCATCCTGATTTTCCAGGGCATTTCATATAATAACATCCTGAGAGCTCAGGGTTAAAAGTGTCACTATTCTGAAATTGCAGGGCAAATTCAAATATGCATCCTGAATTCAGGGTAATCAGGATGTTTTGCCCTGATATCGTGGGGCCTGACTACGAAGCACTGAGGGACAAGAAATCAAATAATCTGAACAAGATTCGACATTTACGTCGGATGCCCTAGATACCGGTATCAGCCTTAGATCGTTCAACTACATCAACTTGCTCCTCAGTTGGATTGGACACCACCCTGGCGCAGAGTCCAACCGCAAATGAGATGTCCGGCCTTGGTGTACAGCAGCGTACAAAAGGCTCCCCACAAGTGATTGGTAGCGTCGCTGCTCTCCCTCCTCAACTCCTCCTTCCTCTGCCTCAACAAGTTTGAATCCGCATGGTCGCAGGGTGGCAACCTTCCGTCCGAGCTCCACGTCGTACTTCTCCAGCAGCTGCTTCACATACATCTCTTGGTGAAGCTTCAGCCACATATGGTCGGGGTCGCGTTCGATGTGCATGCCGAGATAGTAGAAAGCCTCTCCAAGCACCTTGCACTGGAAGATCTCAATGAGCCTAACTGCACCTTTTGTATCTCCTTCATGCTGCCACTGTGTAGTAGAATGTCATCGATACACACCAGATCATCACAATCTCCTTCTCGCCCTTCATGAACAATCTCTCAATGCAACTGCTTGCCCTGAATCCCAGCTCCCCCAAAGCAGCTGCCAGTTTTGGTACCAACATCGCGGAGCCTACTTGAGGCCGTAGATTACCTTGTTCGGCTTGCATACTCTCCTCATGCCGTTCTCATACCCTGAAGGCTGCTCCATGTAGACTTCCTCCCCAATTACCTAATAGAGAAAGGCTGTGGTTACATCCATCTACTCGATGTACCATCTGCTCACTGCTGCATCAGCAAGGAGTACTCTCAAGGTTGGAGGTTTAGCAGTGGGTGCGAAGAACTCTCAAGAATCCTCGCATTCCTTTTGTTGAAAACCTTTTGCCACCAATCTGCTCTTGTACACCGTAACCTGATACTTTTTGTCAGTTTTTATCCTCATGACCCATTTGCACTGAAGCGCCCTTTCTCCTTCCGGCAAGGGAACGTGTTTCC